CAAGGCAAAACCCAAAATATATATATATATATATTTTTTTAAGATTTTATTTATTTATTTGACAGACAGAGATCACAAGTAGGCAGAGAAGCAGACAGATAGAGAGAGGTGGAAGCAGGCTCCCTGCAGAGCACAGAGCCTGATGTGGGGCTCGATCCCAGGACACTAGGACCATGACCTGAGCCGAAGGCAGAGGCTTTAATTCACTGAGCCACCCAGGTGCCCCCAAAATATATTATTTCTTTCACTCACTAAAAGAAACTTCCTTCAAGCCTTATTTCTTAGGCAATAAAGTACAATTACCATAGTCATAGTCCTAATTTTCCAACGCAGACCCAGAAATAACACACATCACAGATAAATTAAGAGGTATCAACTCCCACTATGTCACGAAGAAATTTGCTGCATTGACCAATTTATCTTAAATCAAGTTTTTGGACCTAAATATTTACTTGCCTGCTCTAATCCTGGATAAACACACTGTTTTTTGTTGTTCCTCTTGTTGTTTTTTAAAGATTTTATTTATTTATTTGACAGAGAAAGACCCAGTGAAAGAGGGAACACAAGCAGGGGGAGTGGGAAGGGAGCAGCAGGCTCCTTCCCAAGGTCCTGGGATCATGACCTAAGCCGAAGTCCAATGCTTAACGACTGAGCCACCCAAATGCCCCAAACACACTGTTTAAAAGAAAATTAAATCTTAAGTCTAATTAAACTCTCAGATGAGCATTTATCACTGCAACTGAAAAGTGACTAACAGCTCCTCTTTCTGGTCCATTCTTTACAAAGAAGTTGGGATTTTAGGAAGGAAGTTTTAGTTCTCTTGATACAGTTAAATACATCTCCAAAAAGGTGTCACTCGCCCAAAATCAGCAATATGACTTGCTTTTCTTCCATAAATGATCGTGCTCCCCTTTCAAAAGCATATGGGGTTAGACCGAGAACTTAGTCAAAGCGTGTACGAGAAGGATAAATAAGATCTGCCCAAAGATACAACAGTTTTCTCCAAGAATACATAGGAGGGAAGTACAGTTTCTCATTCATTTATTCAGTCATATGAATGCTATCAAGTCAGTACTGCAGTGACAGAAACATAAAATAGTTGCTTACACTTGCGTCTGCAGTTTAGACCACCAGGAGGCAAACAACTGAAACACACAGATATTATAATTACAGTCTGGCCAACATGTGAAGGAGGCATATGAAAGGCATAATCCTATTTGGGGGAGGACAAGTGCCACCAAAAAGGTATCTTTAAACTAAACTACAGCTAATTCGTTAAGGGGGCAAATGGCAAAGGGACAGGGGAAGGTGAATGTAAGAAGGAAAGAAAGCGCCCGCAGAGAGAACTAGAAACCTGAGCCCGCCTGTACAGAGAAGTAAAACAGGAGCTGATGGTGCTGCACTCCCGCCCCCGCCCCCCACAGCCCATTCTGACTAGAAACAGATCCTTGGGCATATGCTCTAACCCAAGAAGCTTGTTCCGCCTCTGTCTCTGGGGTCGTCTGATGTCAACTCATCTCTGTTTAGCATCCTACTTTCTATTTTCTGGGGCTTATTTCTTCAAGTCTAAGCGGGCATCCAAGTGGAAATGGAGATTAACTGGATGCCCCAGTTAAAGGTTCCACCGCTCGTGAAGGAGATGAAGTATAAGGACCTTGAATTTAACCTGAGTAAGTGACAAAATGAGAAATGCCCTACAAAATATTCCATTCAGTTCAGCTGTCAATTCAGTATTTTTAATATCTGTACGTCACTTCTTAACCACTTCCGCAGCTGTTGACAAATGATTAATTTAAAACCAAAGTAAAGGAGTGCGTGGGTGGCTCAGTCGGTTAGGCCTCTGCCTTAGGCTCAGGTCATGATCTCAGGGTCCTGGGATCGAGCCCCGCATCGGGCTCTCTGCTCAGCGGGGAGCCTGCTTCCCCATCCCGCTCTGTGCACCAACCACCCCCCCCCGCCCCAGCTGATGCCCTCTCTCAAATAAATAAATAAAATCTTTGAAAATAATTCAAAATAAAGGTATTACTGTGTTTGTTAAAAAAGGGGGGAGCAGATAAAAATTAAAGATTCTTTAACATCATTCGTCATTAAGGAAATGTAAATTAAAACCACAGTAAGAAACCACTAAGATACCTATAATGAGAGGTAAAATTTTTTTTAAAAGCCTGACAACACCAAGCGCTACAGAGGATGCAAAGCAACAGGAACTTTCACACGAGGCTGGTGGGAATGCAAACTAGTACAGTCGCTCTGCAAAACAAGTTGGCAGTTTCTTGTGAAGTTAAAAATGCACTTAACACACGATCCAGCAATCCCACTCCTAGATATTTATCCAACTGAAATGAAAACTCAAGTTTACACAAAAACCTGTACATAAATGTTTATAGTGGCTATATTCCTAATTGCCAAAAACTGGAAACCACCCAGATGTCCGTCAACTGAAGAGTGGGTAAGCACACTGTGGTTGGCTCAGCCAATACAATGAGCGATAGGAAGGACTGATTTACCGATATATGCAACAACAGCGATGAATCTCAGATGTATTATACTAAGATGACTAAATTAGAAGGCTGCATACTACGACTCCATTTATACGCCATTCTAGAAACAGCAAAACCATAGAGACAGAAGACCAATCAATGGTCATCACTCAGAGATGGGGAAGAATCGCCTACAAAGGGGTAGAGAGGAATTATGGAGGGTGACGGAACTGTTCGATCACTGATCCTTGAACAACTGGGTGGTGCTGGGACACCGATCACCCACCCCCCACCCCTGCCACCACACAAGCTGAAAATCCTATACAACTTTTGCTGCCCCAAAACTTAACTATTTAATAGCCTGATGGTGACTGGAAGCCCTACCAGTACTGTAAACAGTTAAGGCGTATTTTGTACGTTGTATTATATGCTGCATTCTTATAATAAAGCTAGAGAAAAGGAAATGTTATTAAGAAAATCACAAGGAAGAGAAAATATATTTCCAGGGCTGTGCTGTCCGCATATAAAGTAGATCCGTGCAGATCAAACCTGCATCATTCAAAGACCAACTGTATACTGACTGTGGTGCTTACGTGAATACGCACATCTGTCAAAACTCACAGATCTGCACACTAAAAATGATACATTTTACTCTATGTAAAAATCAGTTAATTTTAAAAATGGGGAGAAAAAAGATGAATGAGAGATCTTGGCAACAAAGAGATGAGACTGAAAAGTTACAAAGGAGTTAGTCACATCATCCAAGACCCTGCTAAGAAGTTTCAGACTTTACCCTCAAAGCAACAGGGGTACCAAATGATCTCAAGATGGGGACAGACACAAGTCAGTTGTGTTTGAAAGAAGGATGAGAACAGTTGCAGAGTGAAGTAAGAGCTTAACAGGGAACAACTGAGAGACCAAAGAACCCACCACCTAGGTAATTTAGGGGATTAATTAGCAAACCTGAGGCGGAGGCCATAGAGATGGACAAAGTAAGAGATAGGAAGTTGTCAAGTTTCTAGCAACAGTGAAACCACTAAGCAAGCTGGTGCTGAGGAAAAGACTTAAAACAAGCGACAATGCAATACCTGTGGGACAGGCAAATGCAAACATCGGGTTAGACAGATCCGTCTAGAGCTCAAGGGAATAACCCGAGATTGGAGTTTTAGATTCGACGCTCATCAGGCTGTTTGCAGCCATGAAAAGGTAAGGTCAAGATCATGCAAAGACAAACACGTGGAGCGAAAAGGTGAAGAGAACCCTGGGAATAATCAGGAGCAACATCAGCAAGAATGAGACTGACAGTATAATTTTAAGTATAAGAAGAACTGGCTGAGTATTCAGGCAGCAGTAGAGTTAAAAATGGTTACAATCGTGTGCCTGTTTCAATCTAGGGTCTCTCAACCACTTTATCCTTGGCTTCTCTGATTTTATCTTTGGCTTGATCACCCTGGGACAACTGAGGCATTTCAATAAAAAGTCATCAATGGATTCCAAGGCTGCACTTTCTACTTTCCATACTGTTGAGAATGAAAATATTCAGCAAATAAAGTAGGAGGAATCATCTACTAAACATACTTATTTTTTCAGTTAAACACAGAAGAAGCACTAACAGGTTAAATGATTCACTTCAAATCCAGGTCAACTTAATGACTCTTAACTCAACTGGGCCAACTCACCCAGTAAGTTTATCTTGGGAGCTGGACTAATGACTCTATGGATGCTTTAAAGGACCTCTGACACCACAATGAGGTTACCAGGAAATACCATAGGATAGAGTTAGTGATTCTAGGTAATCAATTCTTAATCAGAAATATGCACCAAAATTCCCAGTGAAGCTTACTCAAGAATGCCTATCTTACCCAAGCTCTGCTTTTGAAAATAGTGATTTAGGAACTTTTAGGTTAAGGCCCACATTACTATCTTTGTAATAGTCCCGTAAGCGATTCTGATGTACACTCACAGACTATACACTGATCCCAAGTTGAAAAGCGATGCTAGTGAAGTTGGTTCCAGAATCTACATGGAGTTCTCACCTGGAAGTTTTTACACCATATCCTAATCCCTGGGAATCCCCTCCACTTGAGAGCATACAAACATACTTCCCTGATCTAAACACAAGAGTCTAAGTGCCACCCCCTGTGAAATACCTATGAATCACCTTTTGGCCTTGGTTAACTAGCTCTGAGAAGATTTAAGTTCTCAGCAGAATTCAGAAAAGGGCAGTGTAAGACAAGGCATGGAAAATGAGTCACTGTCTCTGTTGTTTAATTCCAGTGCTCCAATTTAATGACAATCGGACCAAAAAACTTGGTTATTTCACCAACTCAAGTATTAGCTTCAACTAGTATTAAAGCAGGACTGTATCCAACCTGCTGCATTGTGACATTCAGATCCTACTTTACCAATTACCAGTATCTCCGAGACTCCCATTTTCCAATTACAGCATAATTATAAATCAGGACAAAAATAACTATCCAAGAACAGCAAACAATTTATCCCACCAAAATGTACACTTACCCATCTCTTCCCTTACTAACAATTTTTACTTCAAAATAATAAATCCCACAGGCTGCTGGAATTGGGTGCGTGGCGCGAACAGACGCTGCGTCTTTTGGGGTTTTGCCATGACCTGCATAGGAAACAGAAAGGGGAAAAAAATCAAATGAGATATTCAATGAAAATCTAAAACAATTCAGGAAGAAATACAGTTTTTAGAATGGTATCTAGACATTTCTGCTCCTATCAGTACATATAAAGACTCAATGAAACATGTGTCATTACAATGCAATATGCAAAGTAGCCCAGGGTTAGTCATGGGACTCTTGACACTATTACTAGATTAACACACTTTCAGAATCTGAACACACTGAGCCTACCAAACTAATATTTCAGGATAGACTATATTTTTAAGAGAAAAAGGATGCATTTGAAGAACATGATGAAAGTATGATCTTAATTTTATTAGATCCAAATATGCTTATATACCTATATTATTTCCAAGCAACATTCTTTTGTCAAATGGCCTATTTTTTTAAAAAGATTTTATTTATTTATTTGACAGACAGAGATCACAAGTAGGCAGAGAGGCAGGCAGAGAGAGAGGAAGGGAAGCAGGCTCCCTGCTAAGCAGAGAGCCCGATGCGGGGCTTGATCCCAGAACCTTGGGATCATGACCTGAGCCGAAGGCAGAGGCTTTAACCCACTGAGCCACCCAGGCACCCCAAATGGGCTATTTTTTAAACCAAAAGCATCTATATCATGGGTATATCTTTAAGTGAAATTTTATATAATTAACTGAATTGGCAAAGCAGCTTTCTTACTTTAAGAATTTTCAAGTTTGGGTGGCTCAGTCTGGTTAAGCAACTGCCTTCAGCTCAGGTCATGATCGTGGGTCCTGAGACTGAGCCCCTACATCAGGTTCCCTGCTCAGCAGGGAGTCTGGTCTGTTTATCCCTCTCCCTCAGTCCCACCCCCAGGACCCCACTCATGTCTCTCTTAAATAATTTTTTTTTTAATCTTTAAAAAAAAAAAACAAAAAACTTAAGTCTGTTCTTGGACATACTTTTATCAGTTCTACACAAAGGCTGATTCAACAAATTTCTTTGGTCAATTACAGCCTACTAAGAAATATACCTAATCTCTAGCTGTATATTCTTTCTCTCTTTTTAAAGAAAGGAATGCATCATCATACCGCTGCTGAAATCTTTAGGGAATCTGTCAGACAATGGCTTTTAAACTTTTTAAAATAGCTATTCTTCAATTCTAATCCTGAAGGATTTCCTTCGCTCACAATCACCTCCCCTGTCCCTCACCCAAGACACAAATTAGCCTGAAAGCCAGCATATGAACAAAAATCAAGTGAGCAACAGAAAATACACCCCTAAAACCACAGCAGAAGAAAAAGAGAAGTTGAAGTAGCATGTCAGAAAGCACTCAGAGTAAGACAAGTCTGCACAATCCCCAAAATGACTCCATGACAAAAAATACTCTATTATTCATTGTTCCAGTTAAATATGCTTCGCCCAATACAAACTTAAGTCATTAGTCCTTTAGTCATACTATAACATTACCTTCATGGGCAGAAAAATTCCCCTTCTCAAATTTACCACGATTGTTTTAAAACTAAATACCTTTTTTTAAATCAAAAATCGTATCTTAGCTATACAATAACCATCACACACCAATGAGATACCTTCCTTTCCCATACACTTCATCATATTACATCATTAAACAGTGAAGTTTACATTTGCAATGCAAATAAGCACATTTTGACATGGCCCAAAAGAAAATGAATGAACTCAGCCTCTCCCTTTTATTACCATGAAAACCTGTGTCCCCAGACGTCTTAAGTATATAGGTTATGGGCAAAAGTTCTCAGCCTGGTGACCACTGAGAGGTGATAAAAGTTGGTTAGGGAGATAAAAACAAGAGCAGCAATATACAGATACCCCCCAAATTGCTTTTAACATATGGAGGTAACTGATTTACACTGAGCTAAGCAGAAGAAAAAGAAATAGCATAAATCTGCAGAATGACACAGGTCCCTTCTTAAAAACATCTAAACTGTAAATATGTGGGGCTCCTGGGTGGCTCAGGTCATGATCCCAGAGTCCTGGGATCAAGCCCTGCATCGGGCTCCCTGCTCAGCAAAAAGCCTGCTTCTCCCTCTCCCTCTGCCCGCTGCTCCCCCTGCTTGTGCTCTCTCTGTCAAATAAAAAAAAAAAATTTTTAAAAAAAAAAAAAAAAAAAGTTAAATATGTGTTCAAATAATTGAGTTGCCTGGGAAATAGTCGGGCCAACTAAATTCATTTAAAAATTAGTTAGACAGTTAAAAAAAAGTATAAAGAAAACCCTGAGTCCTAAATCAACTAGCTCTTATTTTGGTTTTGGTTTTTCTGGAAGGGAAGTGACCAAAACTTTTAGGGATAGAGTAGTCCTAAGGTATTCTCAACAATGATGATGATGACGACAACAGTTACCATATATTTAATGCTACGTGAAAGGCACTACGCCAAGAGTACTGTATTTGTTCACCTGTTTAGCACTCAAAACAACTTCAGAAGTAGGTACTATTTATTATTAAGGAAAGGAAATTAAGGGAAGATGAAGAGACTCGCCCAAGGTCATAATGTTGTGTGAGAATTCCAAACCAGGATTTGTGCTGAGATTTAAATGCAGGAAGTCCAATCCAGAGCAAGCTCTGAACCCACAGGAAGGACCCAGTTACAATAAGAATTCTGGGATCATGTCACTTGTTCTCCTATCTCCTATTCTTGCTACTTCTATGGGAAAAGAGAAAGAAAATTAATATTTGAGGGTAAACTCTCTCTCAAAGAACTAAGTGCTTTTGTATAGATTTTTCTCATTCAACATCTGTGAAATGGGTTTTAACCTCATTTCATTTTTTTAAATTAACCACATTTTAAAGAGAGAAAACTCTTACAGATGTTATATAACTTGCCCTGAATTAGTAAACCATGCGTTAAATCCATACATGAATTAAACTGCCCTACACTTTCCCCTCATGTAAAAATTACTATCAACAACTACATAATCCTTAATCTTCAAGGTTCTATTATACTCACTATGTTCTACTTAGACAATGGAAAAATTTCATAAAGGTTAAAAGATTTGTTTCATTTTTAAATTAAATTTAAATGTAAAGACCTAGGAAAAAGCTGAGATGTCAGATTAAAAGCATTCATATTCTTGGGTAAGACTAATAATGTCAGAGTGAAGGGCCTATTTCTAATAATGTTCATCAGCAGGAAGCTTATCACCTTGAATTCTGTGACAACCAGAAAACAACCTCACACTACCAAAGTATAAACTGTTAAAACCACGAAGTCTTCAATGTTAAGTATTTTCTACGTAGTTCAAAAAGAAAATACATTTATTGCTTCAAAGCTCTAAGACCAGCAAGACCCCCTCTTTCATTTCACAACCTGTCGATTCCTTGTACATGGAAGGAAAGGGTTTGAATGAAGCTCACCTCCAACTCCCCCCTCCACTCTCCAATATGCAGTCCCAGTTGCCTTTCTGGAAATACAACTCAGTCTTCCTTGTACCTCTATTCCCCCATACAACCAAAATTCCTTAACAGTCTCCCATTCAGCCAAGGAAAACCCTGCTGATCTGGTCGTCAGCACTTTCCACCACCTTCCTGAACCTGCCACACTGGCCTGACCATGGTCTTTGCCCCAACTCTTCCCCACACCAAACTGGAAAGTGCTATACCCTTCCTCCTTACCTGCTTATGCCCTGCTCATCCATTTGCTCTTATCTCACGTTTTCCTTCGTCGATGACTCTTGCTCTGACCTCTCTGACTTGTCCAACCTCCTTTTTATATGCCCTCACAGCAACACATATCTGTCCCATACAACATTACCACACTTCCCAATTATTCGTGATTATCTTACTGATCTCACATTTCAATTCCTGGACCTCTTTACTCCCACTGACTTCCGACTCTAACTTTAATCATTCCTTCCTAGAGCCACACTCTGGACTCTGACATCACCTGAAACTACTCCACCTCAGAAAGAGTAAATTCTAACGAAATCTATCCTGCTACAAAAAACATTTCTTGAATACAAATTAGCTCACATGTACTTGATAAATACAGGAATGATGTCAGCATAATAAAGAAGTCATTTAGTTCCTAACACAGCTTTTCCCGGTACATCAACGAAGTGAAGGGAAAAACCTAGCAACATACAAAAAACCCTAAGTCAAAAACCTGGGGCACCTCCACAAGTGCATTCCTAGTGTCCAAAGTTCAGTGCCTTCAGGAACTGCCACACCTGCCACTGTATTAAGCCATCTGGGGAAAACTCAAGCCCAATACTGATCAAAAAGTACTAAGATATCGCCTCTTTGTTTTTATCAGCAGGGACCGTCTCTTGCATATTTACTTTCTACTTTGTGTTATAACTCAATACTACTTTACTTTGCTGCTCTAATTAGCCACGGGGACTTTTTCATTTGGCTCCTCTGACATACCTGTATTATGGTTTCTCTTTGTTTGCTACTTTCAGGCCCCAGAAGACACTGGAGGCTCATCGTGCATGCTTCCTGCCCCAGTCCTAGAATCGGCCATTTCTGCAATCATCCATTTCTCCAACATATGGCTACTAAGCATGCTCCCTGTTACTGGGGTGTCACTGCTTTTGGGCTTTCTCATTGATAAGAGCAAGGAAATATACGTATGTATACTAAACCCCTGTGTGTGTGTGCCTACATTTCTACACGTAACCGTCCATGTTTGTATTAAACCAGACATGAGGTTCACACTAAGGTCTCCAACTTTATTACCACACCGATCATTCTAACATTCTCTCTCTGCTTTCCTATAAAATTCCACCCCAATGATAAGAAACAGCTCCCACCACCCACCATCCATTTAATTGTTTGATTCCAGTATACATGTATAGTAACAGCATCTGAATTGTTAATTCATATTCCCATGGGATACAACTTTATTGGTAAGTTTGGTTTCTCTTACCTTTAGTTTTACAGACTACTGATTTCCAAAGTTACCTGTGTCAGCACTCTTCCCCCCCTTCTCTGATGCTGTTTCATATATTTGTAATACAGTTTTATCACATTCTGCATTTTATCCTGGGACT